CCCCCCCCCCCCCCCCCCCCCCCCCCCCCCCCCCCCCCCCCCCCCCCCCCCCCCCCCCCCCCCCCCCCCCCCCCCGCCCCCCCGCCGGGGGGGCCCCCGGAGGTCCACCAAAAAAAAAGTTTGTTTAAGACAATAATTCATAATTAATCATGCTAATGAATACTACTAATATCACTCTGGTGCTTTACACCTTTATTTGCAAATTAAACGGTTTATGGGAAACAATGTTATTCGACAGGGATTTCCAAGCGCTACAAACTCATGTATTAGCCTTTTCAAAATGCTACCGATAAGCAGTTATTTGTACTCGGTTTTAGGCAAACGAGGTTTCTTAACAGAGCGGCCATGAATGCTTTTTGAATAACTCGAGAATGAAAAGAGACCGAGTTCGGATTTTCAGCATTTCGTAGAGAAGATTTTACTCCAGCTCACATATATCTGGTACTAAAAATCTCGATTTTTCAGGTGGTATACCTAACAGATGAAAAACATAAGATTACCAGATTCTGAACCTGCGATGCATTTTTAATTATAACATGGTAGCTTGTTAGTCCACAGTGTTTTTTACAATTCTGCGCAAGACCGACCTCTCTATCTGTTTTGGTTCTCGAATGTCAGGCATTTTCCTGAGGCACCCGTAATTGGTTATCATTTTGTCGGGTAAATGCCTGTCATTTCAAAACCACAACAGATAGCCTTGCGCACAATTGTCAAGAATACTTTGGGCTATCTAGCCACCATGTTATAATCCTTTGAATTTAAATTCAATCGTCCTCGTCTGTTTTTAACGTTATCTGTTTTTCAGAATTAAGGCGAAACTTTTGAAAAAAAATAAACTTAAATTTTTTTGAGTTTTACATTTTAAATGAATTGAAATCTAAAACATATCGAAGAAAATTTTGAAAATTAAACTACATTAACCCCCGCAGTCGGCCCATTGTGCACATTTTTCGAAAAAATAAAAGAGGAGTAGGTCGTATCTACAACACACCTAATCTTCTAGAAACAGACTGGCTATAAAACCAATAATGACAGGCAAAGGAGAATTGAGTGTTTGTTTGATTCTAAAGATTGATTACCAACTGGTTGCGCTTTTATTAAAACAAAAGTTCTTCAGGGTATGTCTGGCGATCGGTCCAGAAGCATCCCTTCTTCCGTGGAATCGGCCGAAAAAGATTCGACACTGACTCGGTCGTAATAAAAAATTACATATTTTTCAAAAACATACCATTGGATAGCCCTTTAAATTCCCTACAAAATGAGCTGGCCAGAATATCCAGACAGATTGGGCCAGTCATTAACGATATCGAAAAGAAGCGTTTGGGTGTTATCTATGCAGTACAGTGTGTCATAATCATAAGAACTCCTTTGTTTTTTATTTTTCGGTAAAAGCTGGGACCAATCTGAATACTGTTTTGGATAGCTCGAAGATTTTTCTAACAGATGTGGTGCATATCGCCGTTTCATGAGAAAAGTTAATAATAGGGTTTCTGGAAAACCTCACCCCTAGGAAACCAAGTCATTGGTTTTTGGTCAGAAAATTTTGCAAACCATATAGCCTGATAGAGCAAAGAATTCTGAGGAAAATAAGACATCTCCAAGCTGTCTATAAGGGTTTTTCACGCAACTGCAGTCGGTCTGCGAATGGCTACAAAGGGCGTGAAAATTACCAAAACATTCCTGTGACAAAGCCTTATAGACAGCTTGGAGATGTCTTATTTTCCTCAGAATTCTTTGCTCTATCAGGCTATATGGTTTGCAAAATTTTCTGACCAAAAACCAATGACTTGAGCGTGGGAAGTGAAAAGAGAAGCATTTCCGGTCATTTTCACTCAAAATCATACTGGGTCATTTTCTAGCAGAAACCGTTTCCCGTTCTTTAATAAAATCATAGTTAATAAATTTTCTTGGAAAGTAACGTGGTGCTCGATTATATATAATTTGCTTTTACTCACATTTCTCAAAGGAAAAGATCTCACTTTTATTATCATAGTCTTTCTTTGGTAGCAAAATCTTTGATGAGCTTTACTATACTTCAGTACTAATATCTTGTTTGATTTAATGAAGAAAACAAACATTGAGACAATTCCACAGTTCGACAAAAACACTTTTCGACAGTGTGTTTCGACACTGTCAAAAAATTTTCACTCGAAATTCGACGGATTTTTCGCTCGATAGTGTCGAAATTTTTCACTCGAAATTCAAAGGCGTCGAAAGCCTGTCGAATTTTCATTGAAAAATTTCAAAAAGACATAAAACAGTAATGACGTAAAAGCGCAGGGGAGGGAGAGGTAGGGCTGGGTATACGTAGGGATTGTCTGCGCCTCTATGTATGTACGCTTTTGCTTCTCTGGTAGAGAAATGAAGCGAAAAATCTTCCAAATTTCTAGTCTATTTGAAATTTTTCACTCAAAATTGGACAAGCTTACGACACTGTCGAATTTCGAGCGAAAAATCCGGTAGTGTCGAAAGTTGTCTGTCGAAAAGTAGAACTGTCAGACGGCGACAAATTCCAATGGACGTATTTAATATTCCATTTGACTATCATGTAATCTTCAGTTATAAAAGATCCAAATTTGTTCGCTGCCTTATTGATGGAGAGTCAATGAATGACATACGAGTGGTTATGCTCACTGTTGGCGAT